CAATATGGCGGGATACTGCAAACAGATTGCAGTTCGTAAAGTTTTTCTATGGGGAATAGCTGCCATATATTTGTTTGCATTCTCTTCTCTTTACATCCAAATACCAGGTATCTCACTACTTTAGCTACTTCAGCTCTTCACAAAGTTTTACTTAAAATGTAATATTTTTTCTACGATAAATTCTTCGTTTTAAAATCGACGTCTGGAGAGAAAATCGATACAAAAAGTTTTAAAAATTTCAATAATTCAAAATTTTGACTACATTTTTTATAGGTCTCTATGGTAGAAATGGTATTATGCCTGCGAAGATTACATTCAAAGAAGGTAGGACCACAAAATAATATATCCTTTAAAAAATATTCGATAGTAAATTTCGCTTGAAGTTTATGAATGGGTCATTGAGGTTTTTAGGAGGGGAGGGGTGGGTTGGGTAGCTAACAAAGTCACAAATGTTAATTGTATGAAACATAAGACTTGATTAAGGTTGGAGATCAAGGGTGGAATAATGTAATGGCAGTACACTCATCTTTACGTGTGGGGTCTCAGGTTTGATTCGCATACCTTGGAAGTGGGCTATTGATTGGTCAGATAGAAAAAATGAGTTGGAATTATTTTTCATTTTGCTATCAGGTTATGATGGTAAAATGGGATGGGATAATTGAGTTAATGAGATGAGAGAAAAAAGGAAAAAGTATGTGAATGATTGGTCTAATGAAAATAAAGAGTAGGGATGTTTTTCTATTTTGCTATCAGGTTATAATCATGGTAGATAATTTTATCACCGTATGTACGAAAGATAGTAGACTGACGTTTTGAACGTTAGTCCTTCGTCGGAGTCTTCGTCGTACCTACGGCAATAAAATTATCTACTACGACACAATTGATTCAACTAAAAAACACCAACGCAGTCCAAACTAGTTCCAAAACTAGTCATCATTTACATAATCATGGTACAATGGGATGGGAAATTGTGTTATTGAAATGGGAGAAGTGAAAGAAAGGAAAGAGTTTGATTGACCAGTTAAAAAAGAAAAAATAGTGGGGAAATAAAAGAAAAGTAAATGTTTAAGGGATATTTTGTATTACTTTTTAAATCTGTAATACCTTTTATACTCATTTATTTCTTTGATCATCCAGGTTGGACAAACATTTTTGTGGTTTCAGTGGTGAGATTTAGAATTTTTCTTCATATTCCAATTTTCTGATTTTATTTCTATAA